CCCACGGTTACTGGAAGGTTGCATCAAGGAAGAAGCCTTGAACCATGAGGAAAGGCGGGTATAAATGTTTTAATGAGCAAGCAACATTACTCCCTCCCAGAAGAAAAGGGGAAGTCTAGCTTGGACCCAGCCGTTAGCTAGAGGGTCGCTTGCTCCCTCCTCCCAGGAAGAACCCCACCCCCACCGGCCAGCTGACCTGAGGCTGCAGGAGAGAGGGGGGCACACTGGCCTCGGTGACGGGCCCCCCAGGAGAGTGGCGCCACCACTCAGGCAAGAACTGCAGCCTCCCCTTCCCCCTCCCTTTGGGGGTCTTTTTCATTTTCACTTTGTAAACATCTGTCTTTTATGTGAGCCACTTTGGGAGATAATTATCTTAAAAGCGGGACCAAAATAAATATGGTACAAAAGTCCAAAGCAATCAATCAAGAGGAAAGCTTCTTAAAATGTCACGTTTTTAATATACATAGGTAATTATCCCATTGGCATACAAAAGATATAAATATAATTGATGTAAAACAAGGCACAGCGGAGTTCTCAGCAGCACAAACACAAGGCGGAGGCAAGAGAGAGCACACACACAACTAGCCCCCTCACCCGGCTGGGGCCCATTTCAAGGAGCAGCAAAAGCCGGCCGAGCACGGAACCAGGCTGGCCCACCCCCCACCCCACAGCTACAGGGGCCTATGAACTGCAGTCCCCACGGGAGAGGGAAAGGTATCACACCCACTCCCCTGTAGTGTAAACGTAAACCACAGGAGTAAAAACTGGCTGACACCAAATGCCAAGTTGCCTATAAACCTGAAAGAATGTCAGGAAAGCCAACAATATTTGTTGAACTGTATGGGAATTTAATAATAATAATATTCCAAAAGTCAGAAGTTAGGTTAGGAATAAGGACAAAAACTCAAAATAAGAGTAAGACTTTTTAATACTTGGTATAGCTGGCCATGGTGGCTCAGAGGTTAAAGATGCTGAGCTGCAAACCAGAAGGTCTGTAGTTCAGCAGTTTGAGACCCGAGTGTGCCGCATGATGGAGTGAGCTCCCACCTCTGGCCCCAGCTCCTGCCCACCTAGCAGTTCAAAAGCAAGAAACTGCAACCAGATAAATAGGTACCGCTTCAGTGGGAAGGTAACAGCATTCCATACGTCTCGGCATTTAGTCATGCTGGCTACATGACCATGGAAACGTCTTCGAACAGCGCTGGCTCTTCGGTTTGGAAATGGAGATGAGCACTGCCCCCTAGAGTCGGATTCAACTAGCTTTCAAGCAAGGGAAACCTTTACCTATAGCTGGAAAAACTGGCCAAGGAAATCTGCCCTCCAAGCAAATAAAGTACCCTCCTGTAGACCACCAACAAGATGTCTCAGAATCAGAAAACCACGGCACAATCAGCAAGGAGTACAGTCAAGCTTCTTTCTCCCAGGGACACAGAAGAGGCCTCATCCATAGCCCTTCCCCTCCTTCCTTACTGCTTTACCAGCCGTGGCCAAGGGGGGAAAGTGTTTCCCCTCATCTCTATAGAAGCAAGCAGGGGTTGCAGTAGAATTGAGAGTCATAGAGACTGACAGCAAATGAAGACTGCGTGTGTCCATGAGCTCAAAGGCTTTGCACATGAGTTCCGTCAGTACCAGAAACTGGCTCCCTGTAGATACAAACCATACAAGAGATCTTTGAGGAAACGTTTTGCCAACAAAGTAAAAATACCAGTACTATATTGTTTTACAAACTATGTATGCTGTTTATGCTCTTCTGTAAGTTTAATACTATTGACTATTACTTACTTTTGAGAAAAAATTAATAAAAATAATTAACAAAACAAAAAAAGAGCAGTCCAGAACTGGGTTGTGTAGCGGGGGGAGGGGGGATAGCGGCCAAATGTACTTCTACGAATGGAATCACAGTGCCATGATCATTCAGATTAAGAGGTTAAAATGGCCACAGTAGAGGAAAGCAAAGGGCCTCAAGCAGATCCAGGCAGTTGGGTTCAGAATGAGAGCAGTGATGAGAAGGATCTGAACATGATCATGGGGGTCACAAGACCTACAAACAGAGAGGACAGCTTAAACTTAGAGGATGGAGACGGCTGCTTGAGCCTGCAGCTGTCAGAGCCACAAAAAGAGCAGCCTCTGATCAACATCAAGAAGTTGGCCACCGATTATCACCTCCGTTCCACTGGGCGGGAACTGATGTGTTAGGCAGACTGAGGGATTATACCTACAGCACAAGTAGTGGGTCTGGATCCACTCTGGAGTCTCATCTGGAAGAGAAGCGCAATAAATGTTTGTTTCCATGTTCACCGCGGGAAGTGTGGGGCACGTACCCATGTGCCACAGCCACTACTTTCAGGAACAGAGTCTGAAGAAAGGAGCCAAATTAAGGTGACCAGAGAGGGAAACCAAAAAGCAGTAACTTTCCAGGTCCTGATGGCATACACCTGAAAGTTTTTAGGGAACTCAAAGATGAGATTGTTGATCTACTAACCTGTATATGTAACCTTTCACTAGATTCAGGCGCTGTGCCAGAAGACTGGAGGGTAGCAAATGTTACAGTTTGGTGTGGTGGTTAAGTGCGTGGACTCTAATCTGGGAGAACCAGGTTTGATTCCCCACTCCTACACTTGCACCTGGCTGGATGACCTTGGGCAAGGCATAGTTCTGGCACAGCTGTTCTTGAAAAAGAGCAGTTTGTGTCAGAGCTCTCTCAGCCCCACCTACCTCACAGGGTGTCTGTTGTGGGGTGGGGAAGGGAAAGGAGTTTGTAAACCGCTCTGAGACTCCTTTTGGGTAGTGAAGGGCGGGGTATACATCCAATCTCCCTTCTACACCAATTTTTAAAAAGGGGTCCAGAGGGGAACCAGGAAATTACAGGTCAGGCAGCCTAACATCTGTCCCAGGCAAATTAGTAGAAAATTGTTAGGTACACAGAGGGACAAAGCCTGCTGAGGGAAAATCAACATGGCTTCTGCAAAGGGGAGTCCTGCCTCACCAACCTTTTGAAGTTTTTTGAGAAAGTGAACAAGCATGTAGATAATGCTGACATGGTAGACATTATATACTTGGACTTTCAAAAGCTTTTTGACAAGGTACCTCACCAAAGACTCCTGAGTAAACTGGGAGTGAGCAGTGTAGTAGCAAAGTCTGACACAAAATTATTCAGGATGGTGAAAACCAAGGCTGGGTATGAAGGGCTTCAGGAGGATCTCCACAAATTGGGCAAGTGGGCGACAATACGGCAGATGAAGTTTGGTGTTGGTAAGTAGAAGGTGATACCACATTGGGATAAAAGAATCCCAACTTCCACTATAGGCTGACGGGGCCGGAACTTGCTGACACTGAGAGGGAAAAAGATCTCGGGGTCCTAGTGGAGAGAGCTCAATGGAAATGTGAACCCCAGCATGCTGCGGCAGTGAAAAGGGCAAACTCTGTATTGGAGATTATTAGGGAAGGGATTGAAGGTAAAATGGTACAGAGGAGGACAATCAAAATGATCTGGTTGTTGGAGCACCTTCCCCATGAGGAGAGGCTGAAGAGACTGGGACTTTTCAGTTTCTAAGAGACGACTAAGCCTGTGGGGGGAGGACACATGATAGAAGTTTATAAAATTGTGCACAGGGTGGACAATTGGGATGCTGCCATCCCAACGAGAGGGCAACAGCCTCCAGCAATAAAATCAAAGATGCAAACAGAGTTGTCTGTCATCTCATATACCGTTATTTGAATGGATGGTCCCAGAAGAGTAGTTATGAACCAAGACCAGTGGGGGGAGTAAAGGGAAATGGTGTAATCAGTCTTTCCCTTCAGACACTGACAAAGAACACAAGCCACAGAGGAAGCACTTTGATCCAGAGATGGTGTTTTTGGAATTAAGACAGTGCCGTAGCTTATCAAGGATGAAACATGATATGGCGTCTCTCAAAGGAGTTGGCTCAGGTGCCAACACCTACCAACTTGTCTAGGGATTGTATTCTCCCTTTTTCTTCTGCTTAAGGATACAGTTTAGTTTGTAAAAATCATACTGGAGAAACTGCAAGGAAGTCCAAGCGCATGGGTCTTGGCACTCAACAAATGCCGTGGGCAAAGCTGGTAGCTTAGAAGCAGAAGAGGAAGGTTTCTTCCTGAGAGGGGAAGAGCCCTGGCTGTCATGTTTCTCCTTGGCTTTACTTTAGATTGTTTATGATCAAATTCTGTGTCAATTCCAAGCTGGAACCTGATTGGATAAAACACTGAATGTGGAGACTAGAGGTACTGAGTTCAAACTGAAGAGTGCTAAAGGTATTGTACCTGAAGCCATGGAATCAGAAGCCCACGAAACTCACTCCCACAGCGGAGTGCACAAGGAAGGTGACCTCTAGTAGCACAGCTATTATAAAAAAAAAAACTCCCTGCAAAGCATGCGGTTTCCTGTGAATTTTAGCAGCACTTTCTGAACATTGTTCAGTTCATGTGCACAACCCGTGTGTGTCCCCCCTGCACAGACACTACAAAGACTCTGCCTTCTGCCAACCAAAACTTCTTTCCTGGACCAGCATGAGGATGCTTTTCTCCCCTCCCTCCCCTAATTTCTCAACAAGAAGCAAATCAAATTCCTGAGCAGTAGCCATGATATCCCATTGCAGCAAAAATAAACAAGAGTTTTGTGGCAACTTAAAAAGAGAAAGCTTTAAAAGAACCTTCAAATCTTGTTCATCTTCAAAGTGCCTCTTACATATTTAGTTCCATTATTTGGTCACTGGTTGAAACAAGAGTTCAAAAACCCTAAGCAGCTCTTCAAAGGAGCCTGGCCAGTCAGGGACACACCTCACCCAGCTCCATTCCAGTCAGCAGTTTTCAAGCAGGTGCGATACAGCAACAGGAGTCCCACTGTATCCTCTTCAAACCGACCAAAGACTTTAACCTTCACACACCCCTTTCCTGGAGAACAAAGCCCTACAACAAATAATGTGATCACCAGAGCAACAACAAGAACCAAGACCCATCCACCTCACTGACAAACTGGACCGCAGAGTAACGAGACAATTTTTTGTTACAGGCTAGCAAAACATCAAGCACACCGCCAGGCAGTGAAGGACAACAGAACAGACAGCGGAACTCCGTTTATGGGATTCCAGCAACAGGGGTTCTGACTCTTTTGGGCTTGGCTACTCCAGGGGAAGAACGTGACACAGAGCCTTCTCTCACAAACAGCCTCCCTCTCCTCCGTTTGCAACTGCAACAATGACAATCCATGTTTCCTCCTCAAATGTGCTCATGGAGCCTCACATATGGAAAAGGCAGCATTCTCCAGCTGGCTGCTATTGTGCCTCCCCGTCTGCTTCTGGTTAAGAAGCTCGTAGTTTCCCTTGAGTATCCTCACGTATGTCTCTTGCCACCCTCCACACATGCACACAAACACACACCACAGCCTGAACGTTAGCACAAGAAGAAAAACAGATGGAAGGCTGGAAGTATCATTTCCATCATTCACACGCTAGCTTGCTATCGAAGCTGGAGAGTCCAACGGCAAAGGCCTGAAGGGCACACAGGGGATAGTTGAAATCCAGGGTGAACACATCTTCAGCAACACGACCAAACTGCATCACAATATAGTCAGCTGGAGAGAGGGGGAAAGAGAGAGAAAATCAGAATCTGGCAACTTCAGATTATTTATTTATTTATTTATTTAAATGTATTACCCGCCCTCCCCGCGAACGAGCTCAGGGCGCCGTACAGATGGGGCCAATGCCCAATACATAAAACATTAAAACTGCATTTAAAAACATTCAATACAACTTAAGTGCTCGCCATAATATCTAACAAGGGAACAGATGACGTCATCAGGATAGTATCCTTAGTGGCCACAGCTCCACGCAGTACCACCATTTTAGCGCTCACGGCGAGTTGGTAATAAAGGGCTAGGACAGACAGTAATAGTCGTAGACAGATGGTAACAGTCGTGGCGGCTCCTACTCAAACGCCTGGCGGAAGAGCTCCGTCTTACAGACCCTGCAGAACTGTGCAAGGTCCCACAGGGAGCTCGTTCCACCAGGTAGGAGCCACCACCGAAAAAGCTCTGGCCCTGGTAGCAGCCAGCCTGGCCTCCTTGGGGCCTGGAGTCGTCAGATCATTGGGGAACATATGGGGAAAGGCAGTCCCGTAGGTATGTCGGACCCTGGCCATCTAGGGCTTTAAAGGTAAGAACCAGCACTTTGAAGCGAATCCGGTATGCTATCGGCAGCCAGTGCAGCGCTTTCAGCACAGGCTGGATGTGTGCCCCCCTAGGAAGGCCCATCAACAGCCTGGCTGCAGCATTCTGCACCAGCTGCAGCTTCCGGATTTGCGACAAAGGCAGCCCCATGTAGAAAGCATTACAATGGTCTACCCTCGAGGTGACCATCGCATAGATCACTGTGGCTAGGTCGTCGCAGTCGAGAAAAGGAACCAACTGCCGAGCCAGCCGAAGATGGTAAAAGGCCGCTTTGGCAGTGGCTGCTACCTGGGCCTCCATAGATAATGTGGAGTCCAGGAGCACCCCCAAACTCCTAACCTCCGACGCTGGCACCAAAGGCGCCCCCTCGAAGGTCGGGAGCAGGAGCCCCAACCCCAAATCACATCGACTCAAACCCAGGACCTCCGTCTTCGTTGGGTTTAGTTTCAGCCGACTCAGCCTGAGCCACCCAGCCACAGCCTGTAACGCACGGTTCAGATCTTCTGGGTCGGAGCCTGACCGGCCGCTCAACATCAGATAGAACTGGGTGTCATCCGCATATTGATGACACCCAAGCCCAACCCTCCGGGCAATTTGGGCAAGGGGGCGCATGTAGATGTTAAACAACATCGGGAACAATTCAGCCCCTTGGGGCACCCCGCATTCAAGGGGGTGTCTCTGGGACTGCTGTTCCCCTATCACCACCCTTTGTCCCTGACCTTGTAGGAAAGAGGCAAGCCATTGAAGGGCAAGTCCCTGAATCCCCACGTCGGCGAGGCGGTGGTTCAGCAACTGGTGGTCAACCGTATCAAATGCGGCCGACAGATCTAATAACAACAGTGCCGCCACGCCGCCCCGATCCAAATGCCTACGGAGGTCGTCAGTCAGAGCGACCAGTACCGTCTCTGTCCCATGCCCCGGACGGAAGCCAGACTGGAAAGAAGAATGGAAGTTGTTATCATGCTTTCCTGACTAGGCCCCCCCCGCCCCCCCCCACATCTCTAAGCTGAGAGAGCCCTGCAGCAGCCCAGTGTGACTCCCCCTCCTCCTCCCAGGCCCTTCAGGCTGCCCGCACGCACGGAGGCCCCAGCGCCTGGACCCCCTTTTCTCGTATTTGAAGAGCAGGCCATCCGTTGCTCCCTACACTCTGCAAGGGCACAAGGGATCCCCCTGTTTCTCTGGCCAGAGTGGCTGCCTCCCTCCCTCCCTCCCTCCCTCCCCCAGAGGTGTCAGACAAGAGACCAGGAGGCTTCACCAGACTGCTCAGGCAATGCACATCGGAAGGAGGAGCAGGTCCTCCTGAGGCCTAAGAAGCAGGTCCACATCACAGGTGCTAATGTGGCCTCCCAAAGCTGGCATGGCGAAAGAGACAGGCAGCATCCTGTGCCAGGTATAAGGTGCCAGCATGGAACAACTGGGCCGGGGGAGTATGGCACACATGACGGCAAGGGTGGTCTATGCACAACTGCGGCACGAAACTGGACATGGCAGAAGTAAGAAGTTGAAAGGAAGGATTTGGGCCACGAATGGATTGTTGAGGGGGGGGGGGGGGGGGGACGGCTCAAACACAGGTGGGACGACCAGCAATTCAGAGTGGCTGATTAAGGATTCTGAAAGCAAGAAGTGGAAAATGTTGTATGTTGGCATCGGGTGGCAAGCAGTGTCTTTAGAAGTAACTAGCTGGTCCTAGCATTGCCCTCCTCCCCACCAAAGCTGTCTTTTGGGGCGGGTGAGAAATTCTAGGTTGTTGAACAGGCAGTTTGGCTTCCCAGCCCCCACCGCAGCTCTTACGGTCATTTTCATGAACAATCTGGAAGTTCTTCACTGAGGCCTGGGTGACTCTCCCATGGAAGTTCAAGACATAAGATTGGGTATCATCATTCCACACGGGAGCCTTGTTGTGTAGCTCTATCAGGTTATCTAGGTTTTTATTTTGCCATTTTGACAATAAACTTTCAAGTTCCTGTGCAACAGAATAAACAGAGGGAAAAAGCACTCCTCATTTGAACGCACGGCTTCTATCCCACTTTTCCCAGCATTCATAGTGACCTACCTATTTTAATGTATTTTGTGATGTTTGTTTTTAATAGTTCACTACTTAAAAGTAGCAGCAATTTAAAACTTTAAAAGAACAAAAATAAGCAGCAATTTTAATTTTATAAACCAGCATTAACAAAACAAATAATCCAGGCACAGCAAAATGATAACGGGGGGGGCAGGCGGGGGTACAGCGGGGGAGGGGGCCGTGACTCAGCCAAAAGCAGAACAGAACAATACAGGCTCCATCTGGTGCTGGGCAAATCTCAAGAGGAAGAGGATTCCAAAGACGTGGCACCACCTTCAGCCAACATCACCAAACATCTCTGGAAAATCTCAGTGACTTAAGATTGGTGTATGCTGGCGTGCCCAGTTCAGCAAACTAACAACTGGACTCAGCCAGGCAGGTACATAGGCTTCTATATGGTTTTGCTTTTCTGTGTGGTGGGGTGGGGTTTTTTTGTATTCTTCACATGTGTGTTGTGTGCATGTATGTGCACCTGGAAGTCCTGGCAGCCTCTGGTGACTGACCCCCTCCTGGGGGCCCGGAGGCTATTCAGAGAGGTGGCTGAGTGAAGCCTGCCCCCGCCTCCCGGACGGCTGGTCTTCCAAGGAGGTCTCCCACCCAAGTACTAGCCAGAGTCGGCCCTGCTTGGCTTCTGAGACCTGAGGAGATCGGCCTGGCCTGGCCTATCCAGGTCAGGGCAGTTTTGGTTGGTGAGATCAAGGCATCCCCTTAAATTTACCTTACACATTGTTAATGTAAAGACGACCAGATGCTTCCTTTGAGAAGACTCTGGATGGATTTTTGCTGGCTTTTGTATTCCCAGCCAGCCGACTCCGTTCCTTGCTGCTTCTTCTGGGAGAACGTGGCGTCATCTAAGACGAGCACTAAAGTTAAGCTATGTGCCTACAGGCATTTTATACAGAGTGCCAGCAAGACCAAATTGTGACATCATGATTTGGAAAATCTGCTCCCCCTTTTTAAAAACTTGTAACACCCAGCCTAATGAAGAGTTCTGGTGAGCTCAAAAGCTCACTCAATGTTTTGTGAATTTGGTTGGGCCTACTAAAGGGTATTACATGAATATTGTTCTTGTTTTGAGATAAAGGAGCTGCGGTGGCTCAAGTGGTTAAGACGCTGAACAGCAGGCTGTGGAAGGTCAGTAGTTCAGCAGTTCGAGACCCAAGTGTGCCGCATGACGGAGTGAGCTCCCATCTCTAGTTCCAGCTCCTGCCTACCTAACAGTTCGAAAGCAAGAAATTGCAAGTAGATAAATAGGTACCCACTTCAGTGGGAAGGTAACAGCGTTCTATGTGCCTCGGTGTTTAGTCATGCTGGCCACAGGACCACAGAAACGTCTTCGGACAGCGCTGGCTCTTCGGCTTTGAAACGGAGATGAGCACCACAACCCTAGAGTCGGACTCGACTGGCTTTCGAGCAAGGGAACCTTTACCTTTTTTACCTTTGAGATAAAGGCCAGACACTGGTTTCTTAATAATCAATGAATGCTGATTAATAAGGTATGGCAACTTGCAGTTAGGGTAAAATTTGATATGACATGGTATCAATATCAATAAATACACATAAATCAATTTTATTTATTTATTTATTTATTTGATTTATACCCCGCCCTCCTTGCCGAGGCGGGCTCAGAGCGGCTTACAACAGTTCATAAAATACAATTAAATACAATAAAAGTCTATCATAGGCTTATAAATTACGGTACTTAAAATAACAAACATTTAAAATCATAGACACAGAAAACGTTGGAACATACTCAAGCAACAAGCACAGCAGTTCTTATAACATAGTCTAAGTGCCTGTTGGATGTCAATCCTTTCACACCAGCACAGTTCTCATTTAGTTTGCGGCGAACACAGGCTAGGAACCTTGATGGTAGGACCTCGGTTACAGGCTAGAAAGCCAGGGCACAGGGACACTCCCTGGTGTGTAGTGCAGCTCCTTAATCAAATACCTGGTGGAAGAGCTCCGTCTTGCAGGCCCTGCAGAACTGTAAAAGGTCCCGCAGGTCCCTGATCTCTACCAGGAGCTCATTCCACCAGGATGGAGCCACCACTGAGAAGGCCCTGGCCCTGGTTTCCGCCAGTCTGACATCCCTGGGGCCTGGGAGGGCCAGCCGATTTTGTGCCCTGGAACGCAGTGCTCTCCGGGGAACATGTGAGGAAAGGCGGTCCCTCAGGTATGTTGGTTGTATATGCGCTGTCAATGGGGTCCCAGGAAGGACCCTAGCCACTGCATTCTGGACCAGTTGTAGTTTCTGGGTCAGTCTCAAGGGTAGCGCTATGTAGAGCAAGTTACAGTAGTCTAACCTGGAGGTGACCATTGTGTGGATTACTCTGTGGCCAGGTCAGGGTGAGACAGGAAGGGAACCATTTGCCTGATCTGGCGTAGTTGGAAGAAACACCAGGTCTAGCAACACTTGTGATCTGGGCCTCCATCAATGAGGAGGCATCCAGAAACACACCCAGACTCTTGCCGGTCAGCACCGATGTTAAAGGTACACTGTCAAGAGCCGGGAGTTGGCACCTCAATCCTGGACCCTCCCCCCAGCCACAGAACCTCGGTCAGTTTCAGTTGGCTCTGCTTCAATCATCCAACCACAGCCTCCGGCCCTTCAGCCAAAAGGGATGGGACAGTGTCCGGCCGGCCGGCCATCAACAGACACGACAACCCAGCCAGAAGCTCCACTCCAGCTGGGTGAAGGGAGCTGATGAGGAAATCCCTACATGCCTGCAGGCATTTCGCACTTAAATTAATTCAAGACCTCTGGCAGACCTGCATTCTAAGGTCGTAAAAGAATCTGATGGTGTTCTGTTGGAACCTCCAGCTCTCATCTTTGAGAAACCTTGGTGGACCCTTCGGGTACCACGAGATTGGAGTTGGCCAAATGCTGTTCTGATCATCAAAAGGGAGAAGAGGAAGAAGATTTGGGAAATACAAGCTAATCTGACCTAAGCAGACTGTTGTTGTTCAGTCGCACACTCGAGCCAGACTCTCCGCGACCTCATGGACCAGATCACACCAGACCCTCCTGTCTTCCGCCGTCCTCTGAAGTTGGCTCAATTTCATGTTCGTTGCATCAATGACACTGTCTAACCACCTCATAGTTTGCCGTCCCCGTCTTCTTTGACCTACAATCTTTCCCAGCATCAGGGTCTTCTCCAGTGAGGGCTCCCTTCTCATTTGGTGGCCAAAATATTTGAGCTTCAGCTTCAGTATCTGGCCTTCCATGGAACAGTCAGGGTTGATGTACCTGAGGGGCTCATCTTCCGGCATCATATCTTTTAGCCTTTTGTTACTGTCCATGGAGTTTTCTTGCCAATATTGGATTGCCATTTCCTTCTCCAGTGGATCACATTTTGTCTGAGTTCTCCGCTGTGGCCTATTCGTCCTGGGTGGCCTTCCACGGCATAGCCCACAGCCTCATCAAACCACGCAAGCCCCCTCGCCACGTCAAGGCAGTGATCCAGTGATTAATCTGTACACATCTTGAAAACAATACACTGATGAGTAGAACTTGGCACAGATTTCTGAAGAACAAGTCCTGCCAAGTTAATCTTATACCAGTTTTTTATTGGTTTACTATTCTGGGGGATCACAGGACTGTTGTGGATATAACATCCTGAGGTTTCAGCAAACATTTGGTCATCTGATGAAATGGAGATGACAGCTCTGTCGGGTAGATTCCTGGCTGGCTCAAGAGCATTCAAAGAGTGCTCTTCAGTGGGGTGCCACTGAGATCTACCATGGGCCTGGTACTATAAGCCTGTTTTATCAATGACTTGGATGAATGGATGGATGGAAAAGAGTCCTTGTCAAATTTACCGATGACCCCACACAGGGAGAGGTATTAAACATCGCAGAAGACAGGCAAAATTCAAAATGGCCTTCTTAGGTTAGAAAGTTGAAATTCTGCAGAGCCAGATTTAAAGTTCTACATGTAGGCAAAAAGAATAAAATACATATGATTAGGATGGGGAGCATCTGGCCCGGCAGTAGTCTGGATAAAAAGGACTTGCAGTCAGTCACAAGATGAACATGAAGAAGACTAATGTGACTAAAGGCTGCACTAAGAAGAGCACAGAATCCATGTCATAAGTACTAAGAGTTCTATTCTGCTTTGCACTAGTCAGACTTCATCCACAGTTCTCTCTCAAATTCTGGGTGCTGCACTTTGAGAAAGACATAGACAAGTATTAGGATGGATTCAGAGGAGGGCAGACAAAGATGGTTATTTCCTGGAGGCATAGGGCCATAGGTACCACTGCTGTGGACTTTGTGAAAACACAAGGTACTGTGGAGAGGCCAAAAGGAAGGACCCGATCCTGGAAATGGAGGTCTCCATCTGCAAAGAGTAGATGTCGACTATGTTGTAGGCAGATCATTATATGAAAGTATGCATCTTGCAGATCTATAGGCGCCATCCACGTTCAAATGAGGTCACACCATCGATTTATACAGTTCACATTTGAGTTCTTTCAGAACTCTTGGATGTATGCCATCGGGGCTTCCCACCATCACGTTTCAAAACTATGAAATAGTGGGAGTAGAAGCCTTGGCGATGATCTGATGGAGGGACTTCTTCGATGGCTCCCTTACTCAGCAGAGTTTGAACCTCGTCCATAAGGAAGGTGGAAGGGGGAGTTGGCACAAAGCGAGGTGTTGGGGGAACCAAAACGAACTCTATGGTGTACCCCACCCCCCTTATGATGATGGTGAGGGCCCAGGAGGCTGTGGTGATGGTGTCTCACCCTGTATAGGAAGGATGAAGCCTGGTGCCCACAGGTGGGGTACATCGGGGTGGAGGGGAAACACCCCTGAGGGGAAGGGAGTCAAACAGAGCGCTTAGTGGATTGTGAAGGACATTTCTCAGACTGTTGTTTATTCCTGGAAAAGTTGGGCTGCTTTGGCAGCAGAGACTTCCTCTTCCAAGAATCCAAGGAGTCAATGGGCCATATTGGGAGTGGAGGAAAGATGGCTTCCACTGCCTTGGGTTTAGAGAATTTCTGGACAAGGTGGGGCTGAGAGAGTCTCCCAAGTCCCGAGCTCTCTCCCAGCTGCCATCCACGTTCTTCAGAGTGCCATCCGTAGAAGAGTGGAAGAGGCCCTCGCTGCTGAAGGGAAGATCCTCCACTTTCAACTGTATCGCAGGAAGCAAAGAGGTGGAACGTAGCCAGGCATGCCTGCATAATGCAATGGCTGTGGCAAGACATGGGGTGACGAGGTGACAGCATGCTTTAAGCCATTAATTCGTTGTTTCACGACCTTGGAGGCTTCAGATACCAGGACAGCTGCATGTTGCTCGTCTGGTGCTGGGAATTTGGCAATAAACGGTTTAAATTGATTTGCCAAGTGAAAGGAGTAAGCCAAGAAGTAGGAGAGGAAATTATGGACCTTTGCTATCCGGGATGTCAAAGCACACACTTTCCTGGCCACGGTGTCGAGCTTCTTCCCTTCATGGTCTGTTTGGTGTAGTGGTTAGGAGTGCAGACTCTACCCTGGGAGAACCAGGTTTGTTTCCCCATGCCTACACATGCAGCTGCTGCTGTGACCTTGGGTCAGTTACAAGTTCTTTCAGAGCTGTTCTCTCATGAGCAGTTTTTGAAAGAGCAGGGGGTTGGACTAGATGGTCTGCATGGCCCCTTCCAACTCTGTGATTCCACGAAGAGAGGAGAGCCAGACAGGGAAAACAGGGGAAAGCCCACCTGGCCTACCTGCCCAATGAGGAGATGAACTGGCATCGTAAAAACCTGAGCCAGGGATCAGTTCCTCTCCACGGAAATCTTTAGTAAAAGGCAAAAGATGTATGCGCTCTGAAGAGACACCAGAGTCAGCAGAACAATCTACTAATCAAAGGAATTCAGCTGATTCGAGTTTTTAAAAACTTAAGTGTGTTCCTCATTGCTAGGAAATAAAAACAAAGACACTACCCTTTTCAAGGCAAAAGACAGACCTTTGGAACATGGACTATCTGGTGTGCCAAGTCTAGAGCCAGTGAGGAGGACTAACTTGGTTTATCGAACTAGGAAGGATTCAGGAAATTCCTTTCTTGAAAATTCAATAGAAGAGAACCTTCTGTCCTCTTTTGCGGACCTACCCAGGAAAAGATCACTTCTAGATTAGAGCAACTATGATCTAAACGTTTATGTGCTAGCAGGAATTGCCAGCAACAAGTAAACACTGACTCTCCAAAGAAAAGAGACTCTAAAGGCCATAATTGGCAATGAACTCCCTCTCCATCTTCTACTTTAACCACAATTAGCAGGGAGAAGCAAGGAGATAAACTAAAAATTGCTCCACAAAAGGATGTACTATTTCATTCTCTCCCGAAGGGCAAACAAGGCACTACTGGACACACTTCAAATAATGGATGTATAGTCTTCGACCCAAGGGGCGAGCTAGAGAAATTACAATAGACCTGAGCCAGGGAAGAAAGACAAGAAGAAGAGATGGGATTGATACCCCGACCTTCTCAGAGCGGCTTACAATCTCCATTCCCTTCCCCTCCCCTCCCCTCCCCTCCCACAACAGACACCCTGTGAGGTAGGTGGGGTGGAGAGAGCTCTCTCAAGAACTGTTCATGAGAGAACCGCTCCGAGAGAACTTACGACCGACCCGAGGTCACAAGGGCTAGGTGCCAAAGGGCCTCATTAGCAGAGCTTAGAGTATCTCCACACAAGGGGCAGAATTCCTAAGTGTTCTGAGTTCAAAGATTCCACCCAGATGCTGTGACCTGTGGGACCCATCAAGGGGGCAGTAGGGAGGCTGGGGTGTGTTTGCTCCTCTAAGGTAACTGACTTGTGTTATGTTTGTTTTCATTTTCATTAGATCTGTATCTCATGATCTCCTAGCGATGACAGGGGAACAATCATTTTTTTAAAAGGGAGAAGTATACACACAAGGAAAGGCCTATGAGGGGAAAGACACAGGAACTCCTGAATCAGTAAAATCCAGGAGCCCTCTCAATCGGAGGCTCTCGTGGAGGAGGCAGTACAGAGACTGAGAGGGGTGAGTGAGTCCTCTCTCCTGGAGACAGAATTTTTCTGCCTCCAGGGATGACTGGGACGAGACCCCAAGCATGACAGAGCGTACTCCTCCCCTCAAGACAGAAGAGCAGCAGTGGAGATTTTAAGTTGGCAAAGCATCTTATGAATTCTGTAGCTGGCTTCTGGCATAAGTTTTAATTGTATTTCATTGTGTTAATTCAATATGGTTACCCACTAGGTTCAAGACTTTTTGTGGAAAAGATGGGCTTATGAATATTTTACACATATTATTATTAATAAAACATGCACACACATTCATTTTTGGGAATTTAAAGCCAATAAAAGACCACAGAACAGTGGCCAGAAAAAGAACATCACATATACTATGGACAAGCCCCCTTTTCTTATTTCCAGGGCAAAGCCGGAAATCCACTGAAGTTGGCTCAGATTTGAAATTCCACTTTCTCAGTTCATTGTAATTGTGACTAAACTCCAGACTTACATTTCGTGGCCTGATTGGAATCCTTTGGTGATTTAGATTCATTCCTGGAATGATGACCGACATTTTCCTGGGTCCCTTGAATCCTAATACATTGGTTTCCTTTTGGGAAAAAGGAAATAGAAGTTGAAGGATAAGATTAACAAATTTTACACTGTCTTCCCCAGTTCCTCAAAGATGCCTTGTAAAGGTTTTCCCAATAATCCCCAACATTCTCTTGCATTCCAGTATCCCCAGAAGGAGAAAACAAGATCGAGACTAGGGGGCGTGCAATTTTTTTTAATCAGTATTTTCCGGTTCGGGTCTATTAGACCCCCCCAAAAAATTGATGTTTTTGAAAAACCCTGGATCCCAATACTGGTATGGTATTCAGGTCAGGGATTTTTCGGAAATCCCAATAGACCCAAGAAGAAAAATATCAATTTTTAAAAAGCCAGCCTAATCCTGGAGCTGGCTGGGCTGCTCCTGTAGCACAGTTTAAACAACGGCCCTGTAGAACTCTTACTGCTGGGGTGTCAGGCTCCTTAGCAGGATCACACCACACAGAAAGCCTTTTTGAGAAGATAAGTGTTTTATTGGTAGTCCATTACTAAAGAACGAGTATACATCTTGTGTCAGGAATGGCCAGCAGTAAGATGGCCACTAACTTATAGTGTAATCAAACTCCTCCCCCCCTCCTAAGCCAAAGCCAATGAGTATATTTCGCGCGCGGGGGCTGAAGCTTGCAAGCAAGCAGCTGAGCGCTTAAGCCGTTAAGGTTCCCAGGCTGGTTAATTTGCAGCTGGGAGAAATAACAAGGTCAGGCCAGAGATAGCAGCCAGAAGCTAAACAGTCAGAAGCTGAGAATGAAGAGGAGGAGGTGCACCCCTCCACATTCCAACTCTATGACAGGGCTACCTGACATGGGGAAATTATTTTTGACAGAACTGGAGACAAATAATAAGGAATTTAGGTCCAGAGATAAAGTGAGCACAAATCTTCTTTTGCTAATAGGTGCTAACCCACAGGAACCTCATTCACAGGGGAGGGCTGTGGCGTTTGCTCTGAAGATGGGAAGTTGCTGGGAAAGGATTCCACCTGTGGGCACCTCAGGGATGATCAGGCCACTGTTGCTTGACCCGATCTTTGTTCACTTGGAAAAGATTCCTACTCACAGCCTGATCCTGGGCACTTTGTTTATTTTATTTACTTTATATATAGTCTACCTTTCTCACTGAGACTCAAAATGGATTACACAGTGTAAGTCAGTGCAATAATTCACATGAGACATCCAATAATGCAATAAGACTAGGATTACAGCAATTTGAAATGGAGCAAAAATAATCACACATGGTATGCCAAACAATGCAGAAAATAATACTACCAAGGTAGAAAGCAATGCAGTAAGAGCAGGATAATGCATACAGGAAACAGATAGTACATTATTTATGAATGTCAAACTTGGGTCCTCGTTTGTCATGTATTTCTGTGGTTCTCTGTTCCTTACCTGTATTGGGGCCATTGGGGGAGACAGATGGTGAGTGCATGTGAGTGTGTGGGAATTGCTTCACTTAGCTGCTTTGTAACTACTTTCTCAAGAGGCCTCCCAACTGGGAAGAATGAGAATGACCTTGGACGCCTGTCTCTGCTAGCTGGCCTGTCACAGACAATGGAACTGTGAATTCACAGGTGGGGGGAAGGAGCGCGTGCTTGGTTTAGGTGGGCTGAATGGATGGCATAATTAGACGAGTCATTGGGGAGGGCTGTTTGAATTAAGTATAACAACAGGACTAGTGCCAAACCCATTAGTTCTGACACAGACGAGTTCAGCTTGACACTTCTTCATATCTCAATAAACAACTCACTACCAGAGAGTGTTGTTGGGAGTGAGTTTGTTCAAGAACCTGACAATTTATTTATTTTAGTAGACTTATATCCCACCATCCCCACATTGTAGGCTCAGGGTTAGATAAATTTGATCTACAGAGTAAATTCAAGCTAAGCTAGAAAGAACAAACTACCAAGAGAGGTTCATATGAAATTTACCAAAAGAGCAGTGTGAGATGCTGTGCTGAGAAGAATAAGAGACAAAGACCTGAATAGAAAAGGAAATGTGATTAAAATTTTGAAAGAGGTACCATGGAGGATGAGACAGAAGAGAAAACGATATGATTCCCTCTCATCAGTATTGAAAGACAATGACATTTCTTATAGATGGCTGATCCCTGAAGGGCGCTTCTCATACGAAGGTCAGAGATAAAGAATAACTTCAATATTGAAAGGGCAGAACTTTTTGAAGAAATATAGGAAAAGACTTAATAGGGGAGAGACCAAAGGGAGAAATGGACAAAGAGAAGATTCAGAGGTTCAGTCAAATGACAGCTTGAGAGAATCAGAAACAGAACAAGAACGGGCCAAAGCAGCATCACGAATGGAAACAAGAGGACTGAGTAAGCAAAAACAAGTTGGTAGTAAAGTAAATACATGTGATAGATAGAGAACAAATTAGAATTCTTACAATTAATGTGAACAGACTTAATTCACCGCAAAAGAGGGAAAGGATATTCTTACAGCTGAAAAAATTATTAAATCTGGACATAATTTGTTTACAAGAAACTCACATCAGACAACTTGATCAACGCTTATTAGAGTGCAATAAATTGGGAAAAACGTTTACAGCTTCAGATGCAAAGAAGAAAAAAAGAGGCCTAGTAATATATATTAAGGAGAAACTTAACCCTAAACTTATTTACGCCTCTGAAGATGGTAAAATATTGATGGTTGAAATTCAAAGAGAAGGGGGGGAAAATAGTGAACAACATCTATGTACCAAATGACCACCAAGAAAATTTTTATAAGGATCTGGAACAGAAACTAGCAAGTTATGAATATGAAGAGCACTGACTGATTGAAGACTATAATGCAGTTTTTGACAAAGTACAGGACAGAAAAACAGCTAAACAAATAAAAAAATCTGGAACACTCTTGCCAAAGCCATTTTTACAGAAGAATATAATTTGGTTGATGCTATCAGGCTTCCCAATCAAACATTCAACAATGTTCCTTTATAAGTTTCTGTTTATTGAAGTTAGTACTTGAGATACCATGAGCTCTCGTGTCAGGAATGACGGGTACCAAAATGGTAGTTACAATTATACCCCCTTCAATCCACACACCCTGATATGTTAAGCCAAATAAGCAAGCACCTGCGAGAGTGGGCTAAAACCAGCAGTTATGTTCCCAGCGGGAAAAGCATTCTAGGCAGAAGCAGCCCTTCAAGGCCACTAGGCAGATAACAGAGACAGCAGAGATGTGGGGGTTGAGCGGTGAGAGGGAGAAGACGGGGAGGCCCAGTACCCCTCCAGATTCCATGACATGGGAGCACAGATCCTGCCCCCCCAAGACCCCTCCCCCACCTTTCCCGGAAAAGCGGGAGTGAAAGTCCTGAAGGAGCTGAGGAGCGTTGACATCCAAGGCCTCCACCCAATCACGATGTTCCGGGCCAAAATCAGTCCACTCCACCAGATAAAAGAGACAGCCCCGCCTCATTTTTGAATCCAAAATACGAGAGATTTTATAATGCAGATCACCATTCACCATCGGGGGCGAGGGGGGGGGGGGGGGGAGGAACGGTGAGGTCGCCAGACATTGGGCCCTGGATCCCTTTTCAAGAGACTGAAGTGAAAAACAGGATGCAAATGTTTAAGGATTTTAGGGAGGGCCAGTTCAACAGTCACCTCATTGATTTTCCGAGTAACCTTAAATGGGCCCACATACTTCCACCTCAACTTGCGGCTCAGTTGCAACCCTTTAATGTTCTTGGTGGAAACATACACGGAGTCCCCTGGTTGAACATCCCACCCCATAGTCCATTTCTTGTCAGCCTGTATCTTATAAGCTGCCTTGGCTGCCTTCAGAGACTTCTCCACCAGGGGCCAAGCCTTACGGAGATTCCCACACCAGTCAGCCACCGCCCCCCCTGCAAGTCATGGTCCGCCAAAAAGGGGAGGGGGGCCCCTTTGTAGCCATAAACTGCCATAAACGGGGAGACCCCCATGGAAACGTGCACAGCGTTGTTGTAGCAGTACTCCGCGAAAGGCAAGAGCTCTACCCAATCATCCTGCTGGTAGTTGGTGAAGCAGCGCAAAAACTGTTCCAACGTTTGATTCACCTGTTCCGTTTGCCCATCCGTCTCGGGGTGATAAGCGCTACTCAGAGCCCGGTCTGTTCCCAGGGCTTTTATTAGTTCTCCCCAGAACTTGCCTATGAATTGAGAGCCACGGTCTGAGATCACTCTACCGGGGGGGGGGGGTGCAACCAAACAATGTGCCTTGGCCAACGAACGTGCAGTCGTGAGGTTGCCAAATGGGACAAAATTTGCCTGTTTGGAGAACAGATCGACCACCACCCATACTACCGTCTTACCCCTGCTCAAGGGGAGGTCCATGATGAAGTCCATGAATACGACCTCCCATGGGCGGTTAGGGGTGGGGAGGGGTTTTAACAGCCCTGGCAGTTTCCCGGGCCAGGGTTTACACATCAAGCATATTTGACATGAATGAACAAACAAGGAAATGTCTTTGCACATGCCCATCCACCAGAACTGATGCTGTGCCAAATGCAGAGTCTTAACAAAACCGAAGTGGCCAGCCAGCTGCACCCCATGGGTTGCAGCCATCACCTCCCCCCAGAGAGATGAAGGCACAAACAGTCTATGCCCGTTATCTCTCTGTTCCAAAGAACCCTCTGACTCCACCTCCATTTGATCGGTTTCCGAAAATGCTGAGGCAAACTTCAATTCCCAGTCTGCCCTGGGCTCCTCTTTCTGGACCGCCACCTTCTGGCGGGTCACAACAGCTCTGCCCAGTTGGGTGGGGGTGAACATCGAGTCAATGACACGTTCCCGCTGGCTGTCATGTTGGGGGAGGCGTGACAGTGCATCAGCCAAGGAATTGGATCTCCCTGGGAAGTGACGCAGGGTAAAGTTAAACTTAAAAAAGAAATCAGAAAAAAAAAAACCGCCCCCCCCCCCCCCGCAATTGTTTGGCATTCAAGTTGCGGGGGGTGCACAGCACTTCCAAGTTTTTGCGATCTGTCCATAATTCAAAAGGAACTCTCACCCCCTCCAACCAATGTCTCCAAGTGCAAAGTGCTAACCGAATGGCTCCCACCTCCTTGTCCCACACAGACCAGTTACGTTCTGTGGCGTTGAACTAACGAGACACGTAATCTAGTGGGTGCAAATTACCATCGGCCCCCTCCTGCAAAATGCTCCCCCATGGCCATGTCCGCGGCATCAACCTGGATGATAAATGTTTTGTTCTCATCAGGGTGGGCAAGCACGGGTTCTGAGGTAAACAAAGCTTTTAGGCGCTCGAAAGCCTCTTGGCACTCAGAAGTCCATACAAGACGCGCCCCCGGCTTGGCACTTTCCAGCCCCTTCCCTTTGGTTTTTTATAAGTCTGTTAGGGGCAAACTGACTTGAGCAAAGTTTTTGAGAAATGGCCTATAGAAATTCGCAAATCCTAAGAAGGATTGGAGTTGACGGTGGGTTCGAGTAGCCTCCCAACCCAGTACATCCTGGACCTTGGCTGGGTTCATCTCCAACCCACGGGGGGAGATATGGTAACCAAGAAAGTCCACCTCAGGGTGGTTGAACTCACATTTCGACAGCTTTGCAAACAGTTTGTGCTCATAGAGGGGGTGAGAACCTCTCTCATGAGTTTCACTTGTTGGAGGAGTACAGCAAGGTATCATGTAAGTAAACAAGGGCCCCCCGAAACAAGGGCTTCTGCAAAACTTCATTGATCAGATTCATGAAGACCCCTGGAAAACCTTGGAGTATGAACGGCATAACCCTGTACTTGAACTGCCCCAGCGGGGTGTTGAACGCCATTTTATATTCGTCCCCCTCCTTGATTCTCACCCTGAAATATGCATCACGCAAGTCAAGCTTGGTGAATATTTTCCCCGTGGCTGCCTCCGCCAAGAGGTCCTTAATAAGGGGTAACGGGTAAGCGTTTGTGGCGGAGACCGCGTTCAAACCCCAAAAATCCGTGCACCGCCGGAGGCTCCCATCTTTCTTTTTCCTGAAAAGAACCGGGAGGCTGTGAATGGGGAAGCCGCTGGGCGAATGAATCCTCTCACCAGGTTTTTATCGATAAATTTCCGTAGCTCCACCTTCTCCCCCGGGCTCATGGCGTATAATTTCCCCTTAGGGAGTTTCTGCCCTGGGAAGATTTCAATAGCACGATCAGAGTTACGGTGAGGGGGCAACTCGTCTGCCTCTTCCTCCTCAAATACCCGGGGGCTAGGTCTCGATATTTGGGGGGGAATGGACGAGAGATCCTCCTCAGCCAGGCAGACTCTCAGGAGTTCCAAGGGCAGGATCAGACCCCAGTCCACATTCCAGGAGTGATTCTGGCACTGGGGGGCTATGAATTGCACCCACCCCTCGTCCCACAGGATGTAGGGGTTGTGATCGTGTAACCACGGGCTCCCCAGGACCAACAGGAAACGAGCTGCTGGGGTAATTATAAATGACCGGTGTTCCCAATGATCCCCCCCACCCCATTCTCAGCGAAACAGTCTCGTATTTACACAGCTTCTTTATGGAGGAGCAGCCGTCCACATCTGGGTGATTATGGAGTCTCCCAGTCTCACCACTGGGGCCCCCAATCCGGTGACTAAGGTGGGGTTAATCAAGTCTCTGGCACACCCTGAGTCTATCAGGGCCTGCACCCTCATGTGGGTTCCCATGGCCGGGTTCATCACAGTCACAGTCACGAAATAGAGGGGGGGGGGTAATTGCTCACCACCCTCAGCACCTCCTGGGTTGGGACCTGCTGCTTCATGCCACTCACAGCAGGTTCTTGCCTTTTCCCACCGGCTCTCCTTCTTCATCAGTACTCTCCTCTGAGTCTGCCTCCGGGATGTTGACTTGAAGGGGCTGTTGGAACTTTGGCTTGGCGGTGCTCTTCCGCACCGGGGTGTCTTGACGTTTCTTCTCGACCACTTTCCCTCTGCTGGGTGCCCCCACCGATTTGGAGCATGCTGAGGCGAAATGGCCCGCGTCTCCACATCTGAGACAAAGCCCCTGCTTCAAGCGCTGCTCTTGGACCCCTTCTTTGGGTTTAAACGGCTTCGGCTTGGCTGCAGGGGTGCTCCCTCTTGGGTAGGCGGTTGCATTATCGATTTTGATCATCTGCAAACAACTCTCGGCATCTGCCACCTCTCTCATCCACGCATTCAGTGAGATGGGGTGGACGCTGCGCAGGATGGTCTCCCGCAGCTCCGTATTCAAACCCAACCAGTACTGCTCGACCAGCACCCTGTCGGGCCAACCCTGAACCTTTGCGGCGTCTCTTGAACTCTTCCGAGTACTCACACACTGTCTTGTGCCCTTGTTTTAGGGTGTGTAGGTGGTTGCGCACCTTCAGCTCCTCCATCGGGTCCTCATACTGGTTCCGCAGGGCCCACATGAAGGCATCGACCTCTTGCAGTTCCGGCCCCTGAGCATTGTGGAGGCTAACATACCAGTCTGCTGCCCCTTCCCTCAATTTGGTGGCAATGTAAGCCACCTGTCACTCGTCAGAGGGGAACAGATGGCCCCAATACTGCACAAACGTCTCCACTTGAACCACAAAATAGGCCATCTTCTCCGGGGTCCCATCGAATGTGGCCTCCAGCAACTCGGTTGGCCTGTGTTCACCAACGGTGGAGGCGGAGGGGCACCGCTGGAGCTGCAGGCCGCTGCTGCCACAGCTCGTTTTGGACTACCTGGGCAACCAGTCTCGGGATGTCCAACAGGGCCTCCTCAAGGAGTCAGGACGTTTGAGCTTGTCCACGTTCAGTCCGGGTGAAGCACTCTTCCCATGCCCCTTCATCCACTGGTTCTCTCCAGGATTCGGCCTGTGAGGGTTGGTAGTCATACCAGCTCCCCCTTTTCGGACCTGGGGTTACCCTCCATGTCTCCTCCTCTGTATTGGCTTTGAAGATGTCCCAATGCTTGGGATGGGCACCTTCACCATACAGCTGGGACTGTATATAAACCTTCTAAACATAGGGTTGGTGAGTGTTTTGCAAGGAAACAGAATCTTGCCAAGGCATATACACATTAAACAAGAAAAAGATTGTGGAAGACTAAAAAAAATACACTTGACTGTTTTCCTTTAAAGGCCGCTTCATAATTTCAACTAACTGTTCTGACAGAAAAAGGAGATTTAGGAGAAACAGTACACTTTAGTACACTTCCTGTAACGACTTTGCCTCAGAAATTCACAGCACTAAATACTGACATCATAACCTCCCGTTGATGCACCCAGATGTGGTTTTCAGTGTTTTAGCCATGACATGAACGCTGCTTTAGCCATTCAGTGTGGTAAAGAACAAAGGAGCACAGAAGAAAACTTTGTAGCATACAATCAGCCCTTCCTCTGCCCTCAGTTCTCAATAATAAATCACTTACATAACAAACGGCAGCCAGTTCCTGTCGGGTGTGTGCTTTTTCCACAAGCCCCTGTGCCTTCATTGGATTAATCCCATGATCGTAGACAGTAAATTTAGTTCCCATAAGATTTGACCTAGGATAAGGTAAAACAAGAGTCACTCACAATATTTCCACTGAAATTTTAACAATGCTTCACTCAAAGCAGACCTTAAACTTTGGTGCCCCAGACAAAACATGGAAATACTTAAGCATGGGTATCCTCTCCACCTGCATCAACATATGTAGTCTGATAATGTATCCATCTAGCCAAGTATTAGCTAAGCATGAAGTTGGGATTCTTCACAGAAATGAGCACTTTCATAAGAGGAAGCCAATAGTAAATCCATACATTGCAAGAAGCAACCAGCTCAGCAGAGGACAAGCTGTTTTGGTGGAACCAAGACATGAAATCCACCATGGCCGCTCATATTACTGTAGGGCAAAAGGTCACTACATACCTTATTTGGAGAAGGGGCATAGCTGAGTGGCTCATGAGTTGCAAGCTGAAGGTTCTAAGGGTCCCCCCCCCCATTTTTTATTATTATTACCAAGATTTTCCAACAAACAAATAAAAAAAAAAAAAAGCGGGGGGCCAACGGGGGGGGGGGGGGGGGGACAGCAAACCAGATCCAAAATCATAAAAACAACTACAAGGCGAATTAGGAACAGAGTGTGGTAACTGTAAAGCAGGTAAGTACAAACGGTCAACATTTCACATTGTTTTAATTTGTGAAGAGCAGACATTCTTGGAAACAGATGTCCAGTCAGTACTCATATACATTGGGGAGGTCAAAAGTAAATTAGACCATGAGAAAATCTGTTTTGGGGGAGGAGGAGCAGAGCTGGGGAAGGCCTCTGCCTGAGACCGTGGTGAGCTGTTGCAGCAGACAGAACAGGGAGGGACAGATGAACCAAATGGTTGGATAAGGCAACTTCATAGGCTCATTTATTCATTTCTTTATGGATCTCACCTGAGTTTGCCAACAAAACTTTCCCCTTCCCTGGATAAATCTGTTGGATCAATTGAAATTATATAATTTGATGTTTTGCTCTTTTTCCTTTTTCTCCCTGCAAGAAGGAATACCTAGAAATACAAAAATCAAGGTAAGAGTTGTGGGGGAAAGTCTATCAGACAAAGCAGTTTAAATTTGATTTTAATCCCTCCCTCCAATGATGATACTGCTATAGGGAGATATCCCCACAGCTCTACTATAATGAAAAAGGGGCTTTCAGAGGCAGCTTGCCCTGTCAAGACCCCAAACTCTGCTTTGCAGTCCTAATATTGAGCTATCCTATATAGACCTATATACACAAAGGTACTCCATGACCTCTCCATTTCAATCAATCAATCAATAAACCTTTAATAGCATATACAACATTAAAATCAGAAATCAGAAACAGAGAGTGACACAGTCAACTAAAAAACTGGAATAATTATAAAATCATGAAACGGAGTTTCCCAATTTTTTCACTCTTATCACATCAACTAAAAAATTAGCCACTGCCACTGTAATGACCTCTCCATTTAGCTGAAAAGGTTGCTCATATTTCCCACCCTAGCAGGGCTAACAGAAGCTGGGGGGAGGTTATCGGGGAAACTGTATGATGAAGAAAGGATTAACCCTCCCAGATTCAGACTCCTGGGATCAATTATGGTTTCTGCACAAATTAGGATGACTTTTGTTGTTGTTCAGTCGCACAGTCGAGTCCGACTCTTCGCGACCCCATGGACCAGCTCCCGCCAGGCCCTCCTGTCTTCCGCCGTCCTCTGAAGTTTGCTCAATTTCATGTTCGTTGCATTCTATGACACTGTCTAACCATCTCCTCCTTTGCCGTCCTCGTCTTCTTTGACTGAACAACAACAAAGAGACCCTTCGATCGAGGGCTCCTCCACAGAGTGTGGATTCTCCTCTTTGCTTTCCTCACCTGCCTGAGTGACCCTGTCTAAGGAAGGGATGCTGATGATCAGCCAGCAGTTCTTGCACCCTGGGACACCCACACGGGGCTCCTTGCCCACACGGGGACTCACAACTGACTCTTCCAAGGTGATCGGGATCATGCCATCCTTGATAAAGCCATTTCCACTCCCGGAACTCAACCCCCTTCAGGTAGATACGATGACCAAGAGTCAAGCACGGATGCAATTTCCTCACATCATCAGACCACACCACCTGACAATCATCTAAACAATTGCAACAAGAATTCATTTTGATGGCATTCTGAAGCTGATCTGGTGCTGAAGATGCAACAAATTGCCGTTTATTCCTTGCTTACAAACTAGAATTCTAAGCCAGAAGCTAAACTAGTTTGGATTAGTTTGTAAGCAAGAAACAAGGTGTAGTTTGTCATTTTGTTCAGTTTGGAAGTCATAACAAACTGTTGCACACTTCTGATCGAGAAAGCCTATGAGTAGTGCATGCAGAGAGGAGGAAACATACAACGCCAAAGACTTCAGTGAATGCTTCCACTGACCATTTTGATTACATTTATAAATAGACAGCTATATCATTTCCACTGTATTACATTGAGGGTTTTGAGCCCTCTGTTGGGGGAGGGTCTTGAATCTATTGCATTTTTTAAATCGACAACACACGCTATGAATTGAGGAAAGACATCGTTTTTGTTGTTCTCAGTACTTTTCTGTTGTCATCTCGTTCCAGGTGCATGTAGTAAGTTGGAAAGAGGCCTCGGTCTATCCCCTTCTTATCTCTCGTGATCCGACACTTAGCAGTAATGCCACGAGGTGCAGGGCGCAGTACGAACTCCTCTAGGTTTTCAATTTCTCCCAGCTGTGCATCTGTCTGAGGTGGCACAGCAGAGGAAGCACCCAAGTCCTGCTGGAGAAATTACTGTTTTTTTAAAAAGTCCCCCTACCTTTATACACATCTATAGATACACAATGACAGGTCACACGTACACACACGTTAAGAGAACAAAGGCCTACACGTGTCTTAGTTTCACGTCTAGAGCCGCCCTGAGCCTGCATGCGGGGAAGGCGGGGTAGAAATGGAATTAAATAAATAAATAAATAAAGGAAGGAAGCTGGACAAGAAAGCTCAGCTCCATGCATCTAGAACCCTCATTGAGGAAAATGCAGGCTCTATAAGTGCAGGAACAAGCGTAAGTGCACTGGGCACCCTCGTAGTCAAAGGTGAAAACAGCATGAAGAGTAGAAGCCATTAGAACCCCACCAAAAAAAACCCTCCCCCCAAAATGTGAGGATGAGCACACCCCTGGCGGGACGTCACAGGGGGAGTCAGCACAGGCCATCCAGGGGTTGGCAAAAGGAAGCAGAGGCTGGAAGGGGAGGCTTCTCTGCTTACGGCTGCAGGTTTCTCACTGACGGCAGGACTCTGTCTCTCCAGCTCAGAACAGGGGGACGGAGACCCTGAGGGTTTTCTGGCTTCTTCCTCTTCATCTGTGTCCTCCTCATCAAAATTCATACTCCCAGAGATACCTGGCAAAGTGCAAGACCAACTTAGAGTGCAATCCCAGGCTTGTTTACTCAGAAGTCAGTCCCATTGAGTTCCACAAGATTTAGGGGCGCCCAGAGCTTCCAAGCAAACATTTCCTTGAGGTCCCCGATCGACACACTGAGGCTGCCTTAGAGTGAGTTGGAAGTCAGTATTATCTACTCCATCTACTCTGACCAGCAGCATCTCCTCCAGGGTCTCAAGTGGAGGTCTTGCACATCATCTGCAGCCTGACTCCGGGTACGGAACCTAAGACATTCTGCATACAAAACAAACGCTCTGCCACTGAGGCACAGCCCCACTCCTCACCCCACTCAATCCCCAACATCATCTTCAGGTCACATGATGACTGACTGTTAATTTCACCTTGTCACATCTTTCACAGCTCTCTTGAGTGGGGCTCAATACCCCCCAGACATGTGCATTGTCCCTTTTTCGGATGAATAGTTCTCCCAGTGGCGCTTGCTGCAGCCTTAGATCTTTTTGTACCAAACACAGACTATCCCTAGTACCATTGCAATACCTCCAATACTCCATTTTAAGATTCTTATACAAGGGGCCAGGGGTCATTTCGTAGAAAAAGAGCTAGGGGAACTCATTAGCATAACTCATTAGCATATGCCACACCCCCTGACATAACGGGAAGTGTGTCATAAGGCCACACCCCCTGACATCACCGGAAATGTGTCATAAGGCCACACACCCCGCCCCCAACGGTCCCGGCCACCACCGCCGGCCTTGCAGCTCCACTGCCGAGCCCCATGAGGGGCCCGGTGGTGGACCTGCAAGGCCGGCGGGAGTGCAAGGAAGCCCCGCAAAGGCCCTCCCTGGCCCCAGGCAGGCAGGGGTGGGGAGAGGCAGGGAGGAAGCAACTTACCCTCCCCTCTTCTCCTGCCTCCTCCTGGCTGAATGAGGGCCGGAAGCAGGGGGTGGGGCTTCGTCATGTGCCCCGCCCCCATACCTCACCCGGGGGAACTGCGTTCCCCCGAGTTCCCCCCCGAAATGACCTCTGCAAGGGGCTTTTGTAACAATTATTAAGAATTTGGTCTCTCTCTCTCTCTCTCAACCTCCATTGTCCACCTGCAAGTGTGACGTGCCATCTCCCATCATGCCCTGAAACATCATCCTTCTTGTCATTTTGAAGACCCTGTGCTGGGTGGTAGTTAGAGCAGGTTCAAGTCCTTCGTCAGCCATGAAGGAAACGGGACTATGTACACCCAGCCACCATCCCAGATGGAGAAATGCAACACCTGCTTGTGGAAGGGTTGGTGTGCCAGCAAACCAAACTGGGGAGGGAGACAATGGCTGTCCTTGGCTAGAGGCATGCTTGGAGGAAGCCAAGCCCCCCCCACACACACACACCCCGTGCCTCTGCCGGCATCTCAGAGATTCGCCTCAGACTCAGCCAGCGGCTGTGCAGGACTGGCAGGCAGTGGCGGGCACAGAAGTCACCCCTGTTGCCTTCCCTGCACCACTGGCCCCCAGTGCTGTTGCCACCGTCTTGGATGTTTGGGCAGTAGGGTTGCCAAGCTCCAGGTCGAGAAATACCTGGAGATTTTTTGGGGGGTGGCGCCTGCGGAGGGTGGTGTTTGGGGAAGGGGGGGACTTCAATGGGGTATTGTGTGCCACAGAGTCCACCTTCCAAAGTAACCATCCCCCCCCCCCAAGGGAACTGGTCTCTGTCTCCTGGAGATCAGTTGTGATACTGGGAGACCTCCAGCCACCACCCGGAGGTTGGCAGCCCTATCCTGCAGGGAGACGGCCCCGAGTGCCACAGGCAAAAGGGTCTGGTGTGCCATTGTTGGTATGCATGCTGAGGGTTGCCTACCCCCACCTAACTTATCTATCAGGGTTATTTTATTCATCCAACTATTCATTCAATTTATAGCCCACCCCTACCACCCCCTGTATGACAGGGCTCAGGGCGGGTTACGACATTCATAAAAACATTCCATCGGGGGCGTGGCATGGCTGTGACGGAGATGGCAGCATAACCCCTGAGCGCCACTCCTTCCCTCCACCAATATATGATATATCGCATCACTTTCCTTTTTAAATAAACCCCACATATATAGGGAAGACCGGAGATAAACATAAGAAGCAGAAATCGGGCAAAGAAAGGCTGGTGACTGATTACTTCCAACTTTCTTTTGAAAATTCAAATCGAGCGGCGCCTAGAAGCATCGGAGACAAGATGGCGGACAGGTCTACAGAGTGAGGTAAAGACGACTTACAAACTGATTCCCAAAACGTTTTAGAACAAATGAGCAAAACGGAATCCCGAATATTAGAGACTATGGAAATAATATTTGAACCGATACAGCATCAGCTAACTGAAATTAAGCAAGCCTTGCACGAGGTCGAACAAAATGCAGACCACGCAGCAACTTTAGGCTTGCAAGCAGAAGAAGCATTTATAACTTTAAAAAGTGACAAAAACGCTACTCGCAAAAGGGTTTTGGCCCTTGAAATGGAGTCCAGACAATTTAACCTAAAATTTAGGGGCTTCCCAGAGGGCTCGGAGGAGTCCATGGAGGTACAAATTTTTTTGGCACAGTGGATTGCTTCAACCCCCAAATTTGAAGACAATGTGACCCCTACAATCTTAAAAGCACACCGTTTGGGGCAGCGTAATAAAGAAGATCGAAGGGGACCAAGAGATATTTTAGCAACATTTCTTGATATGCGAACAAAAAATAAAATCTTAACAGAAGCCAGACTAAATAAAAGCCAGACCTTACCTCAACACCAAAGCAGAAGTCTTTCCAGATCTGCCCCCGGAAGCCATTACTATGAGAAGGGCTCTAAAGCCGATTACTACGCAACTAAAGGAAGCCAATATCAGATCTAGATGGTCCGCAGCTGCAAAACTACAAGTATGGCACAAAGGCTCCTTACTGACAGCCACTGACTTGGAAACAGGACATTTGCTATAAAAACATTCCATACAGTTAAAATTTTAACAATCCTATAATACACTAAAATAACAGTGACCAATCACAGCTAGTAGATGGCAGATAAACATCCCAGGAGGAAGACCAATACCTTAAGATCAGTCTGAGGTTAAGGGGAGGGGAAAGAGGAAGGGAGGCCAATCTAAGATGGAAGAACCGTCGCTGCCCTCAGCCGTAGGCCTGGCAGAACAACTTCCTCTTGCAGGCCCTGCGGAACCCCATTAGGTCTCGCAGGGCCTGACTCTCGGCCAGCAGAGAGTTCCACCAGGTCGGAGCGAGGGCCGAAAAAAGCCCTGGCTCTCTGACGGAGGGCAGCCGGACTCTCTTTGAGAGGATAAAATGAGGGAGAGGAAAATATGTTTATAGCCCAGAATTTCTTAGCGGTAGGGGTGCCAAAAAATGCAGTAAATGGGTTCTAGAACAGTGGCTCCCAACAAGTGGTGCATGTTCCACCAGTGGGAAACAAAAGTGGTTTAGGTGGGACACAGAGTTTCCATAACAATTACTAAGAATTCGCTCCCCCTCAGTCTCCACGTCCACTCATGTGACATGTCGTCTCCTGCATACCCTGACTGTCATAGATTTGCCATCATCAACCTTTTGGCACGCTAGAGTTAACCCTGAACTATCAGTGTTTCTTAGTATAGCCAAGTCACCCACTGTAGCGATAGACCTCCTGCTGGCAGTTCCACAATCCCCACCGCCACTTGGTAGGCCAGCAGAGGAAAAAATAAGGGCAGAATCCCATTTCCAGGCCAAACCCAGAAGTGATGTCACAGCAATCTAGGACTCAGCTGAAACTTTATGGTAAACGCACAGAGTTTTTGCTAAGCAGTGCGACATCACTCCTGGGTTGAAAATGGAAACGACATGCCATCGACGGGATGGTGTCTCTACCCCATGTCCAAGCCCCTTTCCAGAATTAAAGGACTGCTGCCAGGATAAGGAAGGAGATGGAATGGTGAACAGTGAAACTCATAGTTATTACCAAAAGTATTACAGTTCGGATAAGAAGGAAAGAGTATGTGGCTGCACCGTTTTTGTCACTCAAACAACTCTGATCTTATTTCTACCAAAGTTTCCCCTAGCCCACCTCTTCCTTTTCCTCAGGGTGAGAAGGGAGGAACAAAGGCAGGGTAAAGTAGAACAGGGTAAATCAACTGATTTTTCCATTAGAATGTGATCCAAAAGATTCACTTTCCTCTTAATACAGAAAACTCTTGCCACTCTCATGACTAGTTAAATACTGATGCTGAAATCAGAAAGAATTCTGATCTAGATCCTTGTCAACCCACCCTTTATAACCAGTTATCACCTCGTCTCTGTAGAATGCCTTGCAGATCCATCTTGGAAGTTGTATCGGCTGAAGTTTGCTCCGTGCTTTCTGGCTTGGTGTCATCTTCTGTTGTCGATGATCCAACTGAGATTATCTGCTGCTTGGCTCCCAAGACTTGTATCTCTGATTTCAGAAAGATAGCCGGGCCATCAATGCCTGTAAGGGTCAGTGAAACGGATGGCTGAAGCATCTGATTTAAAGTGATTTTTCCAAATACTTTCCAGTAGTCTACAGGGAGTTATGGAAGAATTATTTCATTCTGGAGAGATTAGTCCAGAGAGAAAGAATAGGAAACCTGTATTTGTTTTAATGGTTTATTGAATAATCTATCAATGGCTTTGGTATTTGCACTTCCCGAAAGCAAATCTGCTACTAAATGCAATTTGGTTACTACTGGAAATCTGAAACACCCCAGAGAAAATGAAAGGGTAGTTGGTTTCTGGATCCAGTGATCTATCAGCAGAAGATGCTGATGGATGGGCAACTGCCCGAGCCGATTCCCCCCCTTTATGACATCCAAAGCAGACCAGCGGTACCAATGCATAAGATTAGCATGTTATTATTATATATCTGGTTTTAACATAGTATTTGAATGTTGTATTTATTACCTATATGTATTTTTGAATTTTATCTGTTTGTAAGCTGCCCTGAGCCGGCCTTGCCCGGGAGGGCGGGATAAAAGTTTAACAAACAAACAAACAAACAAATAAATAAAATAAAATCTTCCCTGTTGTCCCCTCCATTCAGCAGTCCTTCCCAATCTTGGGAAGACTAAGATTCCTGGGGTCATGGGCTGCTCAGGCCAGGTAAAAGGAAGCAATTCCGTCCCCTTCTCCCTCCCTCGCCAAAGCTCAGCGGCCTCCATAGTTATTATTCCACATGATCTTGGGGATTCCACTTTCCCTGATTCAGAAATGGTTTCTGAGGGAGGAGAAAGCGGGGAAGATCTGCAGTCCTTGTTCCCCACAATTATGCATGGGACAGCACACTGACTGACACAAAACATTATTTCTTAAAAGCAATGTATACCCTGAGACGAAAGATATGCAAACTTTTCCCTACTATCAAAAGGACTTTTTATATCCTGAAGAGTATGACCATTTTATGAAAGAGGAAAAGCACTAGAGGTCCTACAAGAGTCCAATAATTACACAGCTCTACACAGCTTTTTAGAGCCTTCTGTAGTTGCCAACCTACAAATGGGAAAGATCAGGAACCAGCGATACGTGCGCTCTCTCTGTGGGGGCACCCACCTTGTGGAAGGGCCTGCCTGAGAAGATCAGGAGAGCTCCCCTGCTCCCGTCATTCTGCAAACTGCTAACAATGGAGTTGTTCAGGAAAGCTTTTCTATAAAGGTAAAAGGGCTGTACTATAAGGACTATACTGTAACAGAACAGTTCAAGAAGCGAAAGACACCATGTCTATGCTCATTTAGATTTCACTAATCCTAGCTGCTAGCACAGTGTTCGCTAGCAGTCATAAAGGCATTACAACTGTAGCAGAATGGAACAGCTCAAGAAGATGCTTTTATGAAGGGACAGGATTGTCATCAACTAAAATGTACCATTTTGCTTTTACTGCATTGCTTTCTGCCTTTGTAACCCACTCTCGGCATTGTTTGTGGTATACCTTGGCTTAGACAGGCTTGTTTGATTCTGCAGGGGAGGGCGGGATAGAAATCAAATTAAATAATAAATAAATAAATGAATAAATAATTCTGTAGTCCTAGTCCGATTGCCGTGTTCAATGAATTATTTATGCTGATGGCGTTCTTTTTGCATTCTGTGATCCGCCTTGAGCCTCAGCAAGAAACGTGGCCTACAAAGCAACTCAACAAATGCTTCCTTTTGACATCCTGAAGAAGACAGGTCAGTGATGCCCGCGGGTGTGAGTCAGAAGGCCTGCCTCAGACACACACGGCGTAGGCAACCTCATCCCACTGCATAAGCCACTCACCAAGCATAGCCAGGACTTAATTAATTAGTCATGAATTATCAACCCATTAATCAGTTAGTCATGAACTAGGAATCCACTAATCAATCAATGCAGAGCCTCCTGTGCACCACCGTCTGGGTGACAAACCAGAAGATCACCTTCATATATGTCATAATTCCCTTCAACTAACCAACTTTTAGGTTCTCCTCCTGCAGGATGAGGATTTGCTATTTATGACTTAGGCTGTAAAAACAGTAAGAAGTAAATTTCCTTCAGAAACAGATATGGCAGCTTCACTAAAGCCCACAGACCACAACAGCAAAAGGGAAAGGTGACCCACATCCCAGAGTCTTGACCACACAAAGCATTTTCCCAATTCTTGGCGACCTGGAAGTCCCAAAAGAAGTAGACCTGCATGACCTTGGCCAGAGACATTTGGGGAACCACAGTAGCACAGCACTAAGAATAACCCACAACTACGACCAGGCTGGCCCGGTCTCATCAGATCTCGGAAGCTCGGCAGGGTCGGCCCTGGCTAGCATTTGGACGGGAGAACGCCAAGGAAGACCAGGGCTGTGACACGGAGGCAGACCACCTCCGAACACCTCTTGCGCCTCGGAAGCTCTATGAGGGTCGCCATAAGTCAGCTGTGACTTGAGGACACTTTCCCACCACTACATGACTGGGTTCAAATCCCTGCTCTGCCATAAAGTTTGCCGGGTGACCTTAGACCAGTCATTCACTCTCACAGCTGGGATCAATCTGCCCACCTCAGCGACTGGCTCTGGTGATGCAAAATGCCCGGCATTCAGAACTGGAGATCTCACACATGCTAAACGGGTACAGGGGTGGTCTGCCCTCCTGTGCAATTCTCCTGCCCTTTGAGGACCCTCCCCCTGTGCCCCTTGTGTGCTCAGCTGTGCGTACAGACAGAGGAACGCTCCGCAGTATGCTGGACGTGGGTCCCACTCCTCCTTCTTCCTCGCTGCTGACAAGCTTTGCCTCGTTCCCGTCCTTTCCCTTGGTGGCAACTCAACCCCCCACACACACTCATTTTCACCCAGGTGCTTTTCCCCACTGAGCTACTAGGATGAAAGTGAAGCCTTCAGAGAGTGTTCTGCTGTGCATTCTTTTGCTGCTATACACATGTATGCCCCTGCCTTACAAAAGCCTGACACTGGGGTATACTTCCCCCACTGCACCTAAGCCCTTTTCTGGCTATGCCCCAGCATTTAACCAGCAAAAGATTGTACATACCATGCAGGACAACATTGGTGAGGGCTGGGGCCTGCAGCCCCACTAAGGGGGTCTGCTCCTCAGAGCCTCGAGGCTTTGACCTGTGCTGCTTTGCTTCAGGATTTGGCTGGACCATCAAGGGTTCAAGGCGTTTTTTCCTCTGCTTCTTCTCTAGTAGTGTTCTCTGCCACAGGGGGAAAAAAATGTTTACTTACTCCCAGGGAGGGACAGATGACTTGGTTTAAACTCCTGACTTTCCAATCCATCCTCGATACTTCTGTAAGGTTCTACCACTTACCCTGGTAATCCAGACCAAGCAACAGACTTCATTGGTTGTGCAACAATGCAAATTAATACAGAGCAAAACAAACGTTATTCATTTCCTGTTGGTTAAGTAATCAGAGCGACCCAATACCCTGCTGTTGATCTCCTGGCTACTGATCAGGTAACAGGCTCAATTCAAGGTACTGTTTTTTTTTAAGGTCGACCTTCCTTATTGAGGCTCAAGGCAGATTACAGACTGTAAATCAATGTAAATCAACCAATAGGATGACAAATCTAATAAACAATGTAACCTGACTAGGATTGCAGAAATCTGAAACAAAGCAAAAAGTATTACACATGATATGTGAACACCACAGAAAACAGTATTACATAAGTAGAAGAAAATGTGCTGGGAGCAGGGTAATACATACAGAACACAGACGGTGCATATACTATACTAGCCCACAGTCTTATTCTTTGTAAAAAGCACCTCCCTGGTGTAATATACCCCTTTTACCTTTACAGAAATGCCCTCCTGAATAGTTCTTTTTTGTGTAGTTTGTCGAAAGACAAAAGTGTGGGAACCCGCCTGACCTCTTCAGGCAGGCCATTCTACAAGGTAAGATCACAACAAAAAAATGAACATAGATGGACAGTTGTTAATCTTGCCCATTTTCAAGGTGGCACCCCCAGAAGACAGCTGTCATGGTGGAGTATAGGAAGAGAGGCCATTTTGCATCTACTGCTTAGGTCTTAGGCCATAAACTGCCTTCCCTTCCAAAGGCCTCCACAGCCCGGGACCCACATACCAGCAGGGCTGCCGTCTTCTGCTGTGCTCCACCACAGCTTCACTTATCCAAACAAAGTTCCTTCCTCCAAATTGCTAAGATCAGCAACTGCCCATTCACACACATTCTGTTTGATGGGGTTGGGGTCTACGGCTCCTGGGGCTGAGTCCGGCAGGGTTCCACTTCACCACAACAGCTCTTAGGCTGGCCTCAGATAGACGGCGGGGGGGGGGAGGTTCAGCTGCACCTGGTTTCCTCTCTCCTGCAGCCGCCAGGAGGTCCTGTGGACACCTCTGTGCCACTCCTGGTACTACCCTGCTGGATCAGGGGAATGCTATGGACATCGTTTAACTTGATTTCAGTAAGGCTTTTGATAAGGTTTCACATAATAGTCTTGCTGACAAATTGGTAAAATGAGGTTCGGATCCTATGATTGTTAGGTGGATCTGTAACTGGTTGATACAGATCACAAAGAGTGCTTGTGAAAGGTTCCTCATCCTCTTGGAGAGAAGTGACAAGTGGAGTGCCCCAGGGATCTGTCCTGGGACCTCTTTTGTTTAACATATTTATAAACTAGAGGAGCCCAACACAACTAGAGGAGCCCTTAGTGTTTTCCTAGATGGACGGGACACCAATGAAGGGGGGGAGCCCTGTAAATACCACATGGTTCACCTGCCGGTGGGGGTGGGCTCCCACTGGAAGTTGCGGTCTTTTGTTGTGAACCCCTCAGCCAAGTTCTCGATGGTGTTGAGAAGTCCTTGGCTCTGGGCCCATGACCCGTATGTCCAACGGAGTGTGGGAGCCTTGCGATTTTTGGACCCCTGCTGCAGAGCATACCTGGAACCTGGAATGTGAGGAGGCGCCACAACTGGCGCCAGAATGGATGTGTTTGGTGTGGGAGGAACTGAACCTCATTCCCCCAGAGTACAGAGACTTGGTCCGAGTATTTGAGGAGGGGGAGGTGGATGAGCTCCCCCCTCATCGGAAGACTGACTGTGCTATTGAGATTTTACTGGGCCACAAAATGCCTAAGGTGAAACTCTATTCCATGAGTCCAGCTGAGAAGGAGGAGTTACAGAAATTTATTTATAAATGTCTGGCCAGGGAGTTCATTCAGCCAGCGGCCTCACCATTTGCCACTCCAATATTATTCCACAAGAAGAAAGATGGGGGCTTAAGACTATACACGGACTACCAGGGGCTGAATGCTGTGTCCCCCCGCCCAGGGCTGCATCTTTACCAAATTGGACTTGAGGGATGCCTATTTCTGAGTGCGCATCAGGGAGGGGGATGAAAATAAGACTGCCTTTAACGCTCCCCTGGGCCAGTTTGAGTACCTGGTTATGCTGTTTGGGCTTGCCCCAGGGGTGTTTCGTTCCAATTTTAGTATACGTGCTGCCGAAGCGAGCACAATGGGCTTACCCCAGGGGTGTTCATGAACCTGATTAACGAAGTGTTGCATAAATATTTGTACAAGGAAGTGTTGGTTTATCTGGATGATATCTTGATTTATTCTAAAGATAAGGAGTCACATATGAAACTTGTCAAAGATGTGCTAAATGCCCTCTACAAAGCTTGTTTGTTTTCAAAGTTTTCAAAGTGCAAATCTGACAAAGAGGAACTGGACTTCCTGGGGTACCGCATTTCAGGGAGGGGGCTAGGTATGGATCCTCACAAGATACAAGACGTACTGGGGTGGGAAGCCCCCTGAACGAGGAGGCAACTACAGTCCTCCCTGGGGTTCACCAATTTCTATCACCCATTCATCCCCAATTTCGCCCAGGTGGTCCTGCCCCTCACTGACTTGTTGAAAACCAAGGGGAAGGGGACAGAAAGTCACAAACCAGGCTATACGTTGGTATGGAGTCTGGAGTGCCAGCAGGTGTTTAACAAACTGAAGGCTCAGGACACTTCTGAGCCCATCTTGTGGCACCCAGACAAAAATAAGCCTTTCATGGTGCAAGTGGACACTTCTGATGTGGCAATGGGGGGGTGGCAATATTACAAAAGGGGGAGGATGGGAAGTTGTACCCCCTGGCATATGTGTCAAAGAAGTTTTCAGAGACTGAATAGAACTGGCAGGTCTGGGACAAAGAAGCCGGCACAATTAAACTGGCTTTAACAACCTGGAGGCATTGGTTGGAGGGGGCCTAGGCGCCATTCAAGGTATAGACGGACCATAAGAACTTGGAGGCACTGCATGCCCCCTGGCACCTTAATGCTAAACAGTTGCACTGGGCGGAGTTCTTCTCCTAGTTTTATTTCACTCTCAAGCACCTCCCAGGGAAGTCCAACTTTCTGGCTGACACGCTCTCACACCTTCCCCACCACGCAAGCCAGCAGGAAGTGATCACAGACTCAATGTTCACCCTTGCCCAACGGGGGGAGGAGTTATCACTCGGAGTCAGACCAAGGCTCAGGCAGAGGGGCCCCTTCAGACAGAGCCCTGGTGTCAGCTAAGCTGCCATGAGTGTGGAGAGGCTTTCTAATTGCTTTGCATTCCTTCCCATGTGCTTAATTGCTTCACAGCTACAACGCTTATCTGTAAAGAGTTACTGGAGGAGATTGTGGTGTCTACCTTCCGTGGGAGCTTCTTTGTTCCCAGCTTCGCTACCGTTAGAGGCTCTTGCAATCTCCCGTGTGTGGGAGTTCACCTAATTTGGTATTGCTGGGGGGGGCGCATATGAATGCCCTATATCCTATTATGCGCATAGGTAACCCGCCATTCCTAACAGTGTTCATGTTATTGCATCTATGGCTTTTCAATAAAAGTAAAACCTTCCTGGAAGCGTGTACTTCGTTGTTTTGCTGTGGGTCCTGACATTCTGTTAGGAATCCTTCATTCCCTATCTCAGCACCTCTCTCAACCCGAGATGAGTGACGGAGAGGGGAAACCATCTCCTAAGGAGCCGAATGGCGAGGACGAGAAAACCCCAGCGACCACAGCCTCGGTACCGGTGACTTCGACTCCGCCGGTAACCGGTGCTGTGGGGGGGACTCTCCCGAAGTCCTCGTCAACTCACCTGTTCCTGACCCCCTCCCGGGTCCGAGGCAATGGACCGGGCTGCGCTACCGACCAAGCTCCAGTTGGAGCCACTTCAACCCAGACTCAACGGCAGAGACTTACTTATTGATGGGGGGCCCCCCGAGAGACAGTTTGTTTGACAGGGGCTTTGCTGCATTGGCGGGATTGCCCCCGTTCGGGGCTCCCTTCGAACCGATCGCTATCTCCTGGGTGACGGAGCGATCGAAGACCCGGAGTGGCCGGGCGTCCCTGGACGGGGGACTGGAATTGGCTAAGCGAATGGAGGTGGCTGATCGAGAGACGGCACCTGCAACAGACCCTGGAGAATATCATCCTGGCAATCCCGGAACTGGTGACCCAGGCTGTCAGGGAGGCGAGGGAGCCACCACCGGTAGCCCCAGTGTTTCTGGCAGAACCGCCAGTACCAGCACCAGGGGCCCTGGCCCAACCTGGGGGAGAGCAACCTCCGGGTCTGGGGGATACCCCGGCGCCTGCTCCGCGCCTGGCTAGCCCGAGGGGACAGGTGGTGCACCGCCCAAAGGACTCAATCGAAGCTACATTTGATGGGAACCCGGAGGAGCTATCCTACTTTGTGGGGTGGGTGCAGAAATTCGTGGATCGCTCGAGCCATCTGTTCCCTGACGACAGCAGCCGAATTGATGTTGTGAGCCTGGCTCAGAGGCCCAGCGGCGGCTTGGTATGTGGGGCTCCACAATGCCCAAGACCTGGAACTTACCAATTTGGACGCTTTTATGTGGGCGTTGCGAGCCCACTTCGAGGATCAAAATGCGGGCCGTAGAGCACGAGCGTTCTTGCGCACCCTAAAGCAAGGGTGCAGATCGGTGCGGGAGTACTTGGCTGAATTCAAGCAGCATGCGGCCAAGGTGCAAAATTGGCCTGACAACGTGTTGGCCGAGCTGTACCAAGTGGGGTTGAACCCTGAGATCCGGGAGACGGTCTTGAGATCGGTTGACCCGGTCTCCCTCCCTGCATGGAAGCAGAAAGCTGAAAGTGCAGAAAACCGCTTACAAACCCTACAATTGGATATAGGCACCTGCAACAGACCCTGGAGGATATCATCCTGGCAATCCCGGAACTGGTGACCCA